AAAAAAAAAAAAAAAGACAAAGATAAACATGAAGAAGATCAATTTCAGGAGTCATCTACTTGTCATTTACAACGAATAAACGAGTGGTTCAAAAGTCACGGTCAAAATCAGCTCTGTGTACGAAAAAAGAAAAAAAAAGAAAAAGAAAACAACGACACAACAAACACAGTTTTTAAAATATAAGGTATTATGCATATTTTTCGGAAGCTTTGTACTGAAATCGCACTTGAAAAATTAACAGACAGAGTTAATCTGCCGGCTCAAGCAGCAGAATTGGCTATCATAGAAATAATCGATTACCACGGGGGGAAAAAACAAATAGAAAAAAAAATAAAAAGAGAAACAATAGCCCAAATTCGACGACAAGAGGATTGTACGTTCGCTGGATTGTTTCGACGAGTAAAACACGGGGCCAACAACAGCGTAGGTTAAACGAGCTTGTTTTCAGTTGCGTTTAAACGCGTGAACACACATGACGGTGATTCTGCTGGGAACATGTGCGACGCGGAAACGCGTGGAACCGGAGATGCACGCGCGGAAATGTTCGAACGATGATAAAAGCCGTCTGTTTTACGGCGATTACAGCGGTCAAGAATGCTGTTAACGAGCGTCGCACGGTACCATGTGATAAAACCACATATTTGGACCGCCCCTGGCCAACCGGAAGGCTAATCCCCTGTGACATTCATCGTTGTTTGTTGTTCCGACGATTGATGCGGGCACGGACGTTCGCCTTTCTAAATTGCGTCAGAAACAAAGCATCGCATTCCCTTATTTTGGTAAAATCCTTTCACATTCAGTGTTGCGCTCGCGATAAGTTTCATAGAAGGCTGCCATTACTTTGCTCGTTTGCACGTTGTTGGAAACATTGCCATTATTATTGTGTTTTGGCTTTAATTTTAATGTAAATCCTCGACACGATCTAGCGAGGATGAATATTTGTCAATATCTTTTGTTTTTTTTTTTTTTCATTTCAAATTCATTTATTTCGACACATCTCGAACGATTAACCCTTTCGATTTTTCGGCGCGCTACTCCCACTGAACGAGCCGCTGTGCCGAAAGTGTGCACTTGCGGAAGATTTGCAATATCGCCGGTAGAAAGGAAAAGGTGAAAAAATTATCATATAATACAATTAGAAAATATAATTTAATCATGTAATTTCGTATGGAAAGTTTCAAAACACGGGTATATACTATAGTAACCGATCGTGCATGCGTTGGGTGACTATAGTCACCGATCGTAGCGAAAGGGTTAATAATAATATAACGAGATGTACAGCGTAATGCGTACGTATCTAAACTAGAAAGGGATTAAAAAAAAAGAAATTGGAACGAGTCAATATACGAGAGGAAAGAGTTACTTTTTGAATAATAATAATAAATTTTCTCATAATGCGGAGATATGAGGATAAAGGTCCTACCTGCCGTAGAAAGCGACAGCGTAAATTAGATTTTTCCTTTGTCGAAGTTTTATGAAAATTGGAATAAATCTACAACATCTGACGATTAATCTGTGATTCCGCCATTTTTTTCCCCGCTCTATTGTATAATGAAAGCAA